TTTAATGGTTTTTTAATGGTATTTGAAGTTCTTTGTTTATTTCCGAGGGTGCTCTATAGGACTGGTATTGATTGTTTTGTGTAATTTGGTTGTAGTATGACCACTGACTTGTTGGCGTGAATTTTCCTGTTCACGGGTGAGGAGTATTGTCTAGATATTTTTCAACAGAGTACACCGGTGTGTTGGGAAATGAACAGGCAGACAGACTGGCTGGCGCTGCACAACTTGGTGGAAAACTGATGCATGATAAGGCAGATGTGGTTAGTGCCTTGTAGGAGAGCGTGTACAGTTCGCAGGAGCAGATGGATCACCACAGTCTGGTGAGATTGATGCAGCGGGGAGTGACGAGAGGTTCTGGCAGGTGCTTGAGGCTCCAAGGAAAGACAAGATGGACGTTTAATCAGAATGCTACTGGCACCATTAGTATCCGAACTCTTCTAAGGCTGCATAGGATGGGGACGGAGCACTTATGGAAATGCCCCAAGTGCTGTGATGTTGGTTCTTGAATCAACTCAACTCAGCTCTTCACAAATATGGTTTAAGTTATTTACTTGCTCTTGCAGTTCAGTTTCTGAAGTAGCAATAAGTGCTTGTTCGTCTGCAAATAGTAGTTCTTTGATTAAACTGTTTGGCTTTGGATCTTTATCTCCTTGGTATAGTTTTTTCCTTGTTTGATTGGTATTTTTTTTACAAATGTTAGTTATCAATTAAGTTATGAAGAGAAGGGGAGATAGGACACAGCCGTGACGTACTCTGGATAATTGATACACGAATAATATCCATTCACACATAGTGCATTGCTTGGGACAGTAAGAGTTGAAGCAATGAATAAAGAGTCAGCGCACAATGTAGACACTAAAGAGATGAATATGCAATTACTGCACAATGTGGACACTAACTACTTAAGGTAACTTACAATTTGAGCTTCTGTTTCAACTGCGTACACTCTTCACGTGTACAGTTGTCTAAACCGCAGATGTTTGCTATAACTCCTGTGCGCTCTACTCCGCTCTTAAACTGAGATTTGACCATTTTTGTATGCCACGTCAACAAAGCAATTAGGCTCACAAAAGATGGCATTCTGGTCACATGGTCAGAAATAAACTCCGGCATATTTTCCCATGGGAAATGTACAAATTCCTGAAAATAATATCAAATTTATTGTTGTCATGCAAAGAAAGGATAAATAACATATCAAGTTTTCAACTGTTACAAAAGTTAGAAAATTACTTCACTCTGCTCAAACATCAGATCCGACACTATGTTTTCCACATCGCTCCTCGAAGGCTGACTTTTCCATAAAAACATGTGAGTCTAACCTTGTGCCCAATGCACTACTGGGTATAGAGGGACTTTTACTTTACTGTGAAAATTAAATAAATAAGTAAAGGTCCCTTTTCCAAGCCTATAGGCATATAGGGCTAGACCTATATTTTTATAGACCAATCAGCACTTGGTGGATGATGTGGTCAGTATCACGCCGGCCGCCTTTACTTCCTAGGGCTGCACCCGGTAACCACTCAAGGCTGGGTCAACCTGGTAGTCAAGGTCATTTTTGAAGAAAAAAAGTCAGGCAAAAATAAAAACTGTGACTAAATGCATATGTAGCAGGTCCTTTGCAGAATGTTGCTCTCAACACGTATGCCAGAAAGCAACTCAGTTCCTGGCCAACATTCCAGCCTCATGAAGTTTCAAGCCCATGGTGTCTTGATATCCTGTGTCTACCATCTTGGTAGTTGACCCCTGCTTCTTCCTCTAAGTACCTTACATTCCATTACTGTTCTCTGCAGACCACTATGGTGTTTAATACGGTCAAAGTATTTCAGTTTCTAAGAAATTTTCTACAACTGCACCCACCACTCCCGACATACTGAAGAATGTCAACATTTTACCTTGTTTTGGTCCATGATACTTTCAGAACCTTTTTGTAACATGTAAGTTCACAAGCCCCAGTTTTTAACTAAATCAATATACAAAAATTGAAAAAAAATGGAAAAACACTCTTCCACACCCTCAGACATATTGGGTATATAGGTTTAGACCTATATTTTAAAGGCCAAATGGCAGGTCGTAGGTGATGTGGTCAGCATCACGCCAGCCACCTTTACTTCCCAGGTCTGTACTTGTACCCATGCAAGGCTGGGTCAGCATGGGAGCCAAAGTCATTTTTGAAAATGTTATAATAGCTTTAACTGATTAAGGATATTTATTTGTAACATTAATTTGGAACCTGTTCATCTTGCATTGTGCATAACTGCATGCGATAGACATGATCATGGAAAGACCAATGAGTAAAAAAGCATAAGCTCCTCATCTCATGATGCTTAGTTTCTGTTTCTGACTGTTGAGAAAATTGCTGGAAGGATCCAAAATCCACCAAAAGAGTGGTGATTCAGTTTCTTTTACGCGAAGGATGTCAACCAGTTGACATTAATCGAAGAATACACACAGAGTACAGTAGCAAATATGTGTCGAAGTCAACAGACTGAACCATTGTTTCAGAAAGGACATGAGTTTACCACAGATCTCCTATGTTCAAGCCAAGTGCATATTTTTGCAGCTGAAAAAAAAATCATCGCCAAAATTCTTGCATTACTGGAAAACCATTGTTGAAGCATATATTGGCTAGCAAAAGAAATCAAGAGGAACGGATACGATGGTGTTTAAACCATGTGTTGTGTTACACAGTGATGAGTGATGCAGTTCTCTTTTGCATAGTGGCAAGTGATGAACCATGGTGTCACCGCTTCGACGCGAACATCAAATAAGAGAGCAAAGTTTCTGGTATTTATGGCCTTAGATATTTCATTTGACCATCACTTGCATGGTCAACTTCTAGTTTTGCTTCCAATGTTTCTATGGACAGGGCTGTCTGTGGTGCACTGTCTGGTGGTACGGCACACGAACTGATACATGCTGCAGGAGATCGCAGATTATGGAGAGGCATGATTGCCCAAGCCAGTCGGCAAGGCACCTGATGATGATGATTATGTGAGGCGTAACGAGGAAAGATCGACTTAGGAATAGTATTAGGAGAGTTGGCACAGAACCAAATAGGTAGACAACAAAACAAATCTAAAAGAACACTGTTCAGCACAATACTCTTAACAACACTATGCTATCAATGTCAAAGATGGATACTGTCTTCAGAAGACAGAAGGAAAATAGTTGCAACATAAATTAAATGTTTACGTATTATGTTAGGTGTTATGAGGAAAGATCGACTTGGGAATAGTATCAGGAGAGTTGGCACAATCTTGTCACATGTCTGAACCATTTGATCTGTTGTCTCCTGATGTAGATTAGTACTGACTCAGCTTTCAATACTCAGTATTATCAACACCCAGCTTTAATTATTAAGGTATTTAGTTAACATTAGCAAACTAGGTCTATCAGTAAATATCCCAGTGCTAGCTCACTGGGGCACATGCTGAATCTTCAGATCAATATAGGACCACAAAGCATGACTGGACAAAGTTTTTAATTCACAAGACACACAGGTAATCATCTTTTGACTACTGGATCAATATGGTTAGAGGGGTAGGGATAACCTATCAAAGGAGAGGTAAGATGCCTCCTTTTCTCTGTTAGTCTACAGGACACCCATTGTTGTTGGTTATGGTCATGCACTATGCGGAGATAGGCAGATGATCTAATCAACAGACACTAGTACAGTCACTGCCCAGAAGGAAAGCAATGGCAAACTACTTTCTGCAAAACTTGTCAAGACAACACAACAGCCATGAAAGAAAACACAAGTTACGTAAGTTTAGAGAGAACAATAATGGAGGGGTATATTCCTGGGAAGAAAGGAAGAGGAAGGCCAAGGAAAAGATGGGTGCAGGTTGTAGCGGATTATCTCCAGATGCGTGTATCAGATGTGGAACATCTTGCTTGTGATTGAGAAGTTTTCCGAAGGGTTGTTATGGGAGCAAAGTTCTGCAAAAGACATGCTACTGACTGACTGACTGACTGGATCAACTGATCGGTCAGTTTGTATCCTCTGGGTTGCTAAATAAAGATTTACAATACCATCTTTAAATTGAAAATTCCCTAGTCTGAATGGTAGACCAAAAAGACAGAACCCAAATATCCCATTTGATCTATGAAGAAGTTATAATGAGGGTACCCGTAATGGCCAGACAAGCCTGGTGTAACCTGCAGTCCTATTCAGATTAGGGACTCTGTGACTGGATATCTCTCTCTCTCTCTCTCTCTCTCTCTCTCTCTCTCTCTCTCTCTCTCTCTCTCTCTCTCTCTCTTTCTTTCTCTCTCTCTCTCTCTCTCTCTCTCTCTCTCTCTCTCACTCTTGTTGTACCCCACTAGGACATCACACAAAGCGATTAACACTAGATGACACAAAGTGCCACCATGTCCCAGAAACCCCTTTCAGCCGTTGAGCAAAGGCGAGGGTGGGGCTTCACTGGATCAACTGGCATGCCCTGTATAAGGAATGAAGCTCAGTTCTCTATCTTAAAAGTGTGTGATTTATAATCTTCTTTATTATACATTTGATCTCGTATGAAATTTTGTGTTCATGTTTTTCTAATGCTGTCTGTGTCTGGCACTGATAGCCCTATACTTGTAAAAATAATGCATTTATATCTTCTTTTAACTCTTTCAATATTGTGAAAGAAAAGAAAAACACTGACATACTTCTGACTATCAAAGACAAATCACTGACAAGAAAAAACGTCTTGGACACTGACATTCTTGTGCCATGTTGAATTCTGCTGTGGCTTAAAAAGAACAGTAAGGAAACTCAAGAAAGTAATGACCTCATTTCATTCTACTACAACCAAGTACTGCTTTAAATGAGCCAATATTGAAATCCAGAAGTGTTTAACAGAAGAAAGCTGTTAATGTAACAACTGTAATAGATAAAAAGTCTATCAGATAAGAGCGCTCTCTTTGGACTAAAAAATGAACATACCGTGAGTTGCTTGATATGTAGGGAATTGAGCAATAATAAATTATTTCTCAATGACCAATGCACTTACATTATCAAGAATGAGGATCACTGGGCCCCTCTTCTGTCTCTGCAGGTCTCCACACATCTGGGTCACCTCTTTCTGAACATCCATAAAGATCTGAGTTATAGTACCACTCACATGCGGGGGCCACATACACTCCACAAGGGACAATATGTCTGCCTCAGTGGCAGCTAGCAATGTTTCCATCACAGTCTGAAAGTATAAACAATAATTCAGTAATTTAACATGCAAAGTTATAATTCAAAAATCTGTGTTCATGGATTTCCGAAATGAAAATAAAAAAGAATAGAAAAGGATCTGCCATATATGATAGCATATATTGGAGACGGGTAGGAAGTTAGCTGACAGGTTTCATGAATATCTGTTGGATTTTCACAATGTTGATGTTAGATGTAGAATGATCACCTGTTTATGCCAGCCAAGTAAGTGGTATTCATCAATGGACTTCTTCTTGTGTTCGCTTTCTGATTGACACTTACAGTCATTGCAATAAACTTAACTGTTTTTAGAAGTTCTTTTTTTTTTAGGTCCATACAACTCTGAGTGCAATGTTGACTCAGTGGGCCAGAATTCCCTTCTTTATGGGCTGTACAAGGGACATTCTTGCAGAACATGTGTATAAGTGGAACAGAATTTACCAGTGGGTATATACTTTGTGTGGTGGCGGTTGTCTGGATATAGGATAAAAAATACCAGCATTCCCATTTTTAACCGCACTGATTGCTGATCCAATTGTGTACGCATTTATCCATAAATTCTTCTTCTTCTTCGCATTCACCAGCTGTAAACTCTGGCAGAAAGTTCTGGTTGTTCATCCACTTCTGGACTGCAGTCCTGTTCCAGAACCTGGGTGTTGCATGTGCATCTGTTTTACAGACTTGACTCATTTGTATGCAAACTGCTGGTTCCCTGCTTCTCAGGCAGATGCACTCTGATTTCAAAGGAAGCTCCCAATTAGTCGACTCTTACAACATGCTTTTGGGTAGGCAGTGGGTCTATTCTTGTTTTCCCTATAATAGGGCCCCGGAACCCACACGGAGATATCCATAACTGTTTGAGAAAGTGTGTTTATTTAAGGTCATTTGACTCATCTCCGGCTGTGAGGCCTCTGCCTAGTGAGAAAGTCTGTACTGTGTCACTAACTTGCTACCAGGGTAAAGGGTATAGGGTATGCCTCAGTAGTGTTGTTCTCATGGATAGGTCTGCCTGGTACTGTCGTTTAAGTCTTTTTCTTTGATGGACAAAGCTGCTATTCTTAAGATGTCCTAATGCCAGATTATCTAATCTTGTTTTCATGGGATGACTACTCTTAGTCCTTTAAAAATAAAAGTAAAGTAAAGATCCCTTTTCACGCCTTTAGGCGCATTAGGTATATGGGAAGAGCACCCATATTTTTACAGACCAATTGGCATTAGGTGAGTAATGTGGTCAGCATTACGCCCGTTGTGTTCACTTCCCCGGGACAGCCATCCTGGTACATATTTTAGGCTGGGTCGACCTGCAATGTCCCATACCATGATAAAAATCCACGCAGCCAGCAGTGGATTTCGATCATGGTACATTGGGTTTATGAGTCGGACTCACAAAGCCTAAGCCACAGACGCAGCACTCCTAGTCCTTTTCTTAAGCGAAATTACCAGAGAGTTCCTTTAACAGAGAATTTTAAAAATAGGTTTTCAGAGGTGAAGTTATTAAGTTTAATATAACAATAGTATCTAGGTATTTAAGGTGGAATTTAATATGAACAAGTAATGAATACAGGAACAAATTTTTGAAATAGAACTATACCCTTAATTCTGTGTGGCAAATGTGAATTCCTTGTTGCTGGAGAATACTGGCTGCCTTTCTGCCTGCATCATCTAGAACTTTCTGGACATAAATTCGAATCACACAATCTAGACGACCTCTCAGGAACCACTTGTAACCACCCAAACAGACATCTTGCATATAGAGCAGGGTATCCTGTTCACAGAAGCAAAGACATAGTTTTGGCAAGGCATTTAATACAAATCTTTTTAGTAGTAGTAATCGTGGCATTGTTGGGTAGTAGTGTTGGGTGGTGGTGCTTGTGGTAATTTAAACAACGATATTCTCATTAAACTATGCGAGTTGATTTGATTTGATCTGATTCAAGAACTGACATCACAACACTCAGGGTATTCCCATAAGTGCTCCATCCCCATCTTCAGCAGCCAACGAAGAGTTCCGATACTAATGGTGCCAGTAGCATTTTTATTAAACGTCCGTCTTGACTTTCCTCTAAGCCTCGAGCATTTCCCAGAACTTCTCGTCACTCCACCTGCATCAATTTCACCAGACTGTTATCCGAGTTATATTTGGTATATATAAAGTTCTTTCTGTAAATGGATATTTATTCAATATTGCATAGCTTATGTATTAATTGTATCATAGAACTTTAGATTGTTAAATTCAATATATTTTAAGTGAACTTTCGAACAATAATAGTAACTATACTGTGTAGTCTAACTCTTTATTGTGTGTCTCAATAGGAGTCAGTGTGCAGCTGATCCCTTCCAAGTGTCTGTATCAATGTTAGGTTCTTTCAAGTCACTTGTGCCAATGTCCTTATAGTGTACCTGGAGATATTTTCCCTATTTCAGTTCACCACCTTACAGAAATCCTTTGAAATGTGACCATCCTTTATGATAGAAACAACCAGTGCAGGCATCTTTGCTTCAGGACGGAGCAAACTGTTGGCATCCAGATTACATTAGTTCACATTCACTGGCGACAAAGTTTCACCATGAAACGAGGACTATTCCAAAATCAACCTCTGATTATCTGGTAAAAATAAGCCATTTGCCATAACGATACCATTCATTGCTTACATCATTCAGTAGCCTTTTAGCGGCATATCAACCTACAGCTGCATTTGCTCAGTGGTTCACAAATCATAAATTAATAAACATGGACACTGTCATTGCCTGCCCCTGCAGCTGTGAAATTTGTTGTGTAATTCATTTTTTTTTTCAAGCAAAAGGTCAAAATTACAAACGTGCAAAATCAAATAAAAAGTCAAATGAAAGAAGCAAATATAATCATATAAACACAAGATCCCCATGACAAATAACATCAGTAAGTAAAATAGTTACCATTATGTGAGCACCTTTCCAAGAGCGACAATTCTGGTGGCAATCAAAACCACATGCCTCATAGGATCTCAGGACAATTCTGAGCTAAATTGTTAAAACAAAAATCTTAACTCATGACACTTGTTAATGTTACATCTAATCATTTTTATATATTCTGTGCACATAATCATCCTCTTCAGGGATCTCTGGCACGTACTTAGTCCTCTATGGGACATAAATTGTGATGTCATCTCAAGGTCTCAAAGGTTTCTCAAAAGGTTAGCTGTCAAATCTACTGGATGTGGCCACATGTTGCTTCGCATCTCTTCAAGGAGAGAAGTCTTGTCAAGACATTTTCTGGGATATGTTCAGCACGAAGTCACTAGTAATGATCTGATAGCTCATACCTAATTTATATAAGTATTTGCTGAGTCTGCAATGTCCAGTGTGTAAGCAAAACAGATAAAGTCCTATAAATGTGTGGTAATTATGTATTATATAATCTTAAATAATCTATTTGGTTGGATAAGCATGTGGCATCTTTTTCTTCTTCTATTTTGTCAACCCCTTGTGGGACGTAATTTTTTGTTATTTTGAATCACCACCCTGGCTTTTGCTGGGGCCCCAAATATAGCCGGGCCTGAAATATGGCCTAACGGCTAAACAGGGTTTCCGGGACCTCTCCATGGGTGATCCTCATCTGCATGGTGGCACCTTGTGTCACCTGGTGTTTATCACTTGTGTGATGTCCTTGTGGGGTACAAATTACACACATACATACTTCCTCTTCTGTTTCCCCCTCTGGGCTACTCCCTAAAAGTTTGGCGACCCTGAGGATTCAAACAAATCCCAGTCTAGATGGCAGGTCAAGAGGGGGAATTTCAGATACCCTATTCAACCTCTAAATATGTTATAATTGCAGCATCCATAACTCATTCAGTAACAGGTTTCCCATGAGATACCAAAGTGAAGAAATAATAATAAAACCAAATCATGAATGTTTTACTTTTAAAGTGGCAATATACATAGTTGAAGTGACCAGCAAGGGAAGCCAGACTTCAGTAGTGTTTTCTGACAAAATGATAAAATTAAGAGAGCTTATTGCATTATAAAGGGCAACCAAGAAGTAAATTCATTAAAACATCAGACATTGCTTAGGACTGTGGCCACACCAGCTTGGTGTAACCTGCAATGCACTGCTGGTAAGGATGCTGTCTGGTGCAGCTCATTCCAATTTATGTGTGTCACAACCTTTAACTGTGCAAAACTGACTTGGACAAAAACTGCAAAGGAACTGAGTACATTTTCATTTTGAAACCATTGTTATTCCTCTTGCAGGTTCTGAGGTACTAGTGGTGAGGGTGGGGTAAGTGGTGAGGGTGGGGTAAGTAGTGAGGGTGGGGTAGGGGAGGGGGCACACCCCCTGTCCCCCCTATCAAGCATGTCATGAAACGTGACTAATTAGGGTTTTGTTGAGATTCGATTTGTTGGGTCAAAAGGTGAAGATGTCACAGCCTAGCTGCAAACCACAATACAACATGTTATCCTTCCTAGTGACCTGTGTAAAATAGTTTTTAAGGGGAAAAGGGGGAGGGTGTTAGATATTGTTGTTTTTTTTTTTTTTCTAGCATTTTCATGGTTAAAGTTTTTTCTCCTTTTTTTTTCCTCCCAGGAGTTTCCAGATTCAGTGCCTTTTTGTTAAGTTTTTCCAGGTTAAAAGGGAAAACTGCTAAAAAAAATGTCTGTAAGTGTAAAAGTTTATGTACAAGAATCCAGATCACATGCTGAATGCATGCCTTATGTGACAAAATACAGAAAAGCTACTTACAAACTGGCGCCTGTTGTTTGGCAGGCCAACAGTAAATGGCTCCTGTCCACAGTTTAGTCTCGTGATAAATATCTGGCCACTGCCAGGATTTGTGGGGTCAAAGTTTACCGTGGTCATCTGAACAACAGTCCACTCTGAAAGGATAAAAGAAAAATAAACCCGGATAAGCAGCACTGCCAATATAGCATAAAAACTATTTTCATTTTTGAAGCGATACTTACTTAGTCATTCCTCTTCTACTTAAAGTGTAGAGGTTGCCAGAGAGATCACAAGACTTCTCTATCTGCAGTTTTATTTTTGGTTTTGTTCCATTCCAGTCCTCTATCTGTTTCCCTGGTTTTTGGTCTCCCACGCCTAACATGATGGCAGATTCTCTCCAAAACAATGTAACTGTGACTGATCCACCTGAGTTTGTAAGACCTGGGTTTCAAGATCCTGACATATTGTCTGACTGTGAATGTTGGCCCTTGTACTTGGATCACCTTTCTCAGATATCCCATTTCTGAGGCCTGAAGCTGGCTTCTGTGAGATGCTGTTATTGCCCATGACTCACACCACTGGCACATAGGTAGAGCGGTAAACAGCCATTCTCGTCCTCTTGCCAATTTCTCTTTTGCTGAGAAACTCTCAGTTTATGGCCTGGAAAAGTATCCCGGCAGGTTTTTTTAAATTTTTTTTTTGAGTAGCCAGCTCTGTCTTAATGTCACCATCCAGTCTATTACAACTCTTAGATATTTAAACTGGTTCACCTACTCCAATGCATGCTGTCCCTAAATTATCTGGTGTTTCTTCTTTTGAATAAATATATTTTAAATAAATAAATTAGAAGAAGACTAGTGCTGAAACCAGTCAGACAGTCAACAAAGAGAATGCCCTAATACGAACCGCCACAGAGAGCGACACTGATGAAATATAATTAATACCAAAAATAGTACATTAAAAAGAGCACAGAAAAGACACAATTAAATTCCCCCCCCCCCCCCCCCCCCCCCCCATCCAAATGTAACTCGTCAGATATACTGTATTATAATACCATTTAACAGAATAGAGAATTAACCAATGGCTGAGCAAAATTTAAATAGAGCCCTGTTTGGTGTCAGGAAAGAGAAAGGATGCACAGATGAATATTTTTTTTTACACTAGGGCACATACAATGAAGAAATAAGAGGAATGTCTGGGCAGCCACAAGTATCAACAGTTGTAAGACAAAGAAGCTGGTGCTAGACTGGACACATCCTTTGAAGAAATCAGCAGAGAATCATTAACAGGCAATATAAGGAGAAATAAATGGATTAAGGGGGCAAGGATGCCCAAGAGAAACACTAAGACGAATGTTGATTAGAGAGGCCAAAGCTGCTAGACTGGCTCCTGTGGAGGTAAAGTGTTGAGATTTAAACTGTCACTAATCACCAAAGCTTCTATCCACGGAGACTCCTCAACACTGACATCAAAACTGCATGTCCTTTACAATCATGGTCACCTTTACTCACATGTCTACCATCAGAAATGTCTGTTTTTTGTTGTTGTTTGTGTGTGTTTGTGTGTACAAATTACATTCTATAGCTTTCACACTTCATACTTATAAGATTTTATAAGAAAAAAAAACAATTAAAAACAATAGGTCACCAACCTGGAGGTAATGCAGCCAGCCGTTTCCTGAAATTCTGCATCACATCTCTCCCAAATGTCAGCACATCCAGGACCTCATGCAATACCTGCCTTTTGATCTTTACCTCCTTTTTTGTTTGGTTTTCACAAACTTTAGTCTCCCTAAAATTACCGGTTTAAAAAAGGGTTGAAAGGTCAGATATGATGAAGTGAATGAAGGCTTTATGGAGTCAAATGGACAGAACAAAAGAACAGATAGGAAATCCACCCACTGAAAGACTGGTCTGGTAGTCTTAGTTTCATTCATTCATTCATTTGCTTTGTCCCCTTCTTCAGTAACCATTCTGTGCGTTTTTCATTGGCACAGGAGCGGAGCAAATATAAATGGGTCACCCCATATTTGCTCCGCTCCTGTGCCAATGAAAAACACACAGAATGTTTGTCACAGTCCCTTGTGGAAAGATTGAAAGACTGCTGTCTCAGCAAATCTAGCATACACTAAAAGTAATTTAATGGTGGGGGGAAAGGGGGGGGGAGTGTAGAAGGTCTGAAAGATATTCAACATTGTAGGGAAAACAGGCAGACTTCAATCAGGTTGCAACTGGCACTGTTGGCGTGTCAACTTTTCATTGGTTACTGAAGAAGGGGACAGAGCAAATGAATAAATGAATAATTGACATCACTGCACTAAGGACATTCCCACGTATGCTCCATCCTGAGTGCACTAATGTCAGTTATGGATTGACTGATTTATTCAAAGTCAGAGGATTGACTTCATTGCACCAGCTAAGTCTCTTTCTGCAGAACAACCAGCTACCTGCTGCGAGTGTTGCACAAAGACTGAGTTATGAATTATCAGTTAAGAACTGATACCACTGCACTCAGGGCATTCCTATAGTGCTCTGTCCCCATCTTAAGCAGCAAGTGCAGAGTTCCAATTCCAGTGGTACTAGTAACAGTCTGACTGTATGTCTGTCTTGCCCCTTTCTTGAGAGTTGGTCGGATCTCCTGGTCACTCTTTGCTGTACCATTCTCTTTGGGTCATGCCCCTGCCCTGTTTATTCACTCCCAAAGTACCCTTACAACATCTAACTCATCGTGCTACAGGTAACCTCCAAATGGTGCAGAACCAACCAGTCTATCTGAAGTTTTACCACTTAGCTTTGGGGAAACACCTTTTTTCACTCCCTCCTAAAACTACTTCTTCTTCTTCAGCATTCCGAGCCCTTGAGGTTCATTGCTGCAGATATCACCTGCCTCCATTCATCCCAAAACAAAACAAAAAAATTGTTTAGTGTATACAAAAACAAATATAGCATACAGAAAACACAGCTCTCTTTAAAAGATGTGTCACTAGTAACACAACCAATGCATTTCCCCTATTGGGCAGTTTTTGTGCCTTTCTATAAATGAAAAAGTCATCTTTTAAAAATCTCAAAAATTATTTTCCACAGACTTCATAATGCTCAACAGTAAAAGTGGAAACTCACTGTGATCATCTGAAACTGGCATTTTCCCTATTCTCTCAGGTTCATAGTTAAGTAATGTAGTCACAATGTATTGTCCTCAAAGTGTCAGCCATTTAACCAACAGTTTTCATCTGACAGTGACAGCATTATCGTGTGCAATAAAAACAAGCCTGCTTGGCCTTGGCTCATCATTGTATATA